CAGGCTTATTGTAAAGACCCTTCCAAGCTGACATCTAAAGTTACACACAATAGAAAGTATTTCAAAACTTTAATGGATATAAAGTGACACCTAGTGGCACAATGCTGCCATTACATTTGAAAGATCCATATCTAATAGAGGTGATAGAGGCCAAAGTCAAACTTGATGTCAGTGCAGGTATTCATATGAACAAACAGGGATGTGTTATTGCCCCAAAATTATTTTCCATCTTCATCACTATGATACTTCATCTTGTTGATGGGATGATTCCCACCAGAGTGGAAATAATATATCGGATAGACAAAAAACTATTTAACCTCAGCCGACTGAAAGCCAAAACCAAGGTCACAACAACATCTGTTATAGAACTCCAATATACTGATGTTAATGCAGTCTGTGCACATTCAGAAGAAGACCTACAAGACACTCTAAACATCTTTGCAGAAGTATATGAGAAACTCCTTGCTTAGAAGAAAATTAAGGCTTTTTCACTGCTGCTACACAAAGAAAGCATGGTTGAATTGGTTTCAACTGCGGACAAGTCAGATGTATTTTCTCAACTAGAGTTAGTATGTAATTAGTTTCTGAGAAAAGTACAAAGTGCTGGTCATTACGTCTGAATTCCAATTTGAGTCCAGGTTACCTATAGGATTGCCTTCTCCCATATTATCTGCCCTGTACACTCAGGCCATCTGGGAGACAACTTCAGAAATGAGGATGATACCTAAGGGTAAATTTCAGGCAAAAATCGGTATGATAAGAAACAAAGATGGCAGGGACCTAACAGAAGCTGAAGAGATCAAGAGAAGGTGGCGAGACTATACAGAAGATCTGTATAGGAAGAATAATAATATTGAGGATAGTTTTGACGGTGTGGTGAATGAATTAGAACCAGACATCCTGAGGTGAGGTTGAATGGGCCTTAAGAAGCATTGCTAACAACAAGGCAGCAGGAGATGACGGGATCCCAGCTGAACTGTTTAAAATCTTAAAAGATGATGCTGTCAAGGTGATGCATGCCATTTGCCAGCAAATATGGAAAACACAAGAATGGCCATCAGACTGGAAAAAATCAACATATCCCCATACCAAAAAAGGGAAATGTGAAAGACTGCTCAAACTTCCGTACAGTGGCCCTTATTTCTCATGCCAGTAAGGTAATGCTCAAGATCCTGCAAGGAAGACTCCAGCAATACATGGAGCGAGAGTTGCCAGATGTTCAAGCTGGGTTTAGAAAAGGCAGAGGAACGAGAGACCAAATTGCCAATATCCGCTGGATAATGGAGAAAGGCAGGGAGTTTCAGAAAAACATCTACTTCTGCTTCATTGACTATTCTAAAGCCTTTGACTGTGTGGTTCATAATAAATTGTGGCAAGTTCTTAGTGGGATGGGCATCCCAAGCCACCTTGTCTCTCTCCTGAGGAATCTGTACAAGGACCAAGTAGCAACAGTAAGAACTGACCATGGAACAACAGAGTGGTTCAAGATTGGGAAAGCGTACGGCAAGGCTGCATCCTCTCACCCAACCTTTTTAACTTGTATGCAGAACACATCATGCGATGTGCGGGGCTTGATGAATGCAAAGCTGGGGTGAAAATTGCTGGAAGAAACATTAACAACCTCAGATATGCAGATGACACCACTCTGATGGCCGCAAGCGAGGAGGAGCTGAGGAGCCTTCTAATCAAGGTGAAAGAAGAAAGCGCAAAAGCTGGGTGCAGTTAAACATTAAAAAAACAAGATTATGGCAACAAGAATGATTGGCAACTGGGAAATAGAGGGAGAAAACATGGAGGCAGTGACAGACTTTGTATTTCTAGGTGCAAAGATTACTGCAGATGCAGACTGCAGCCAGGAAATCAGGAGACGCTTACTTCTTGGGAGGAGAGCAATGTCCAATCTCGATAAAATAGTAAGAGTAGAGACATCAGACTGGCAACAAAGATCCGCCTAGTCAAAGCCATGGTATTCCCTGTAGTAACCTACGGATGTGAGAGCTGGACCTTAGGGAAGGCTGAGCGAAGGAAGATCGATGCTTTTGAACTGTGGTGTGGAGGAAAGTTCTGAGAGTGCCTTGGACTGCGAGAAGATCCAACCAGTCCATCCTCCAGGAAATAAAGCCCGACTGCTCACTGGAGGGAAAGATACTAGAGACAAAGTTGAAGTACTTTGGCCACATCATGAGGAGACAGGAAAGCCTAGATAAGACAATTATGCTGGGGAAAGTGGAAGGCAAAAGGAAGAGGGGCCGACCAAGGGCAAGATGGATGGATGGCATCCTTGAAGTGACTGGACTGACCTTGAGGGAGCTGGGGGTGGTGAACGGCCGACAGGGAGCTCTGGCGTGGGCTGGTCCATGAGGTCACGAAGAGTCGGAGACGACTGAACGAATGAACAACAACAACCTAAGGGAGATTTCCTTTAACTGGCCCTACACTGTTGAATGACCTGCTAGAAGAACCTCAGCTCAGGATGGTATCTATACCTGTCTGGACGTATCTCTCCTTATGAACCATCTAGGAATTTAAGATTGTCTGGGGAAGCCCTGCTCTCAATCCCGCCTTACTTGCAAGCACATCTGGGCCTTCTCAGTGGTGGCCCCTTGGCTATGGAACTCCCTCCCTAGAGATATTAGATGGCCCCCTCCTTCTTGACCTTCAGAAAAAGAGTAAAAACTTGGCTTTTTGAACAAGTGTTTGGAAATGCAGCGGAATAATTAATTATGAAATAGGAAGAATGAACACAGAATGGCTACTGTATAATTATTTTAACAGGACAACACTGTTGATATGTTTTTAATGGTTTTATATGGTTTTTATAATATTGGGTTTAATGTTTTTAACTGTACTTGTATGAATGAATGGCATCAAATTCTGCCAATACTGTAAGTTGCCTTGAGTCACCGTAAGGGCGACTCAAGGCAGGGCAACAAATGCCATAAATAAACAAACAAACAAATAAACATTGCAATGAGCAATGCCATCAATAAACAAATAAATAAACATTGCAATGAGCAGTAATGAGCAGTCCCTTCTGGCAGGCCAATTTATATTATTTTTAATTATATTTTTTGAAGTTTTTATTCATCAATTTCAATATGTGTTTTATATGCTCTTTTAATTCATGTTACCCGTGTTGTGTTATTTGTTGTTCCCTGCCACAATCCACAGGGAAAGGCAGGTAAAAAATAATTCCTGTTGTTGGACAGCAGCCTCTTGGGGATGCTCTATGGAGAGTGGATGGGTCAGTCCAGGGCACTGAATTAGGGAAGATTATTGTAATACTTGGGTGACCATCTCTATTTATGTGTGCCGAAGGACTGAGGTCTGTTGTGTGCAGTGGCTCCTCTGTAGATTACACTGGTGGTTCTTTGGTTCTCAACCTGTGGTTCCCCAGGTGTTTTGACTTACAACTCCCAGAAATCCCAGCCAATTTACCAGCTGTTAGGACTTCTGAGAGTTGAAGGTCAAAACATCTGGAGGCCCACAGGTTGAGAACCACTGGAATAAGGGGAAATGGGTGAAAGCTCCTTCTCAGCCAAGGAACCTCTGTTGGGGAGGGCCACCCCCCTGCAGACTCAACTGACATATTGATTTCATTTAAATGCTAAGTAAAAACTTGACTGTTCATCAAAGCCCTTAGGCCTTTTTCATTTCTCACAAATACTAATGTGCATAATTTTAAATTATTTTAATGTGTTTAAACCAGTTTACATTTGTTCATTATGTTCAAAATATTATCTATTGATATGATTTTTTATAATTTCAAAATGTTTCAAGCAGTTCATTTAAGAGAGACTCTGAGGCCCCTTCTATACTACCATATAAAACATCTGGGGACCTACAGGTTGAGAACCACTGATCTAAGAAATCACATTGTCTTTTCCCTCTGAGGAGATTCAAAGTCAGCTGCATTTCTCTCTCCAGAGAAAGGAGTCGATTTCCTTTCCTCCAGTCAATTTGCATATGCAGAAGCTGCATGCATGGGATATGGTTTACTTCAGCAAATAGGCACACTGAGTACCTGTTTGCAGAAGTAATTCATTTAACAAGGCACAGGGAGACTTATTTTGATTTAAGATGAATGTACTTTAAGATTCTAAAAATTAAATGCATATTTAAAGTTGTGGCTTTCACAGAGATGGGACTTGCATCAGGGTATTTGTGTAGTTCTTACCTTGAAGTTGCTGGAGAATGCTCTACTGATGTGTGCTACTAGCATACTATGCGCTAGAGGCTTCAAAAATGGTAACACTAAGCTGATACAGACACTCAGTGAACCTAATTCATTAGATAATAAATCCACTATAAAGCCAGTTTTTGCTTCCTCCAGAATTCTGGGGATTATATTTCAGGGAGGCTATTAAAGGCTCCTCCCTAAACTACAAACCCCAGAATTCTGCAGGAGGTAGCAACCAGATTTAAAGTAGATTCATTCTCTAGAGGTCCTTAGTAGAATAATAAAAACCAGACTGGAGACTGATGCGTCTCTGAATAAAAGGCTAGTTGGGAACGCTCCAAAGGGCCACATTCAGGCTCTGGCATGTCACACCAAGAGGGGCAAAGCTCCCTTCCCTCCCTATTGTCTTTCAGATGATGGGCAAAGATGTTAGTATTTTAGTCAGCTGTTTGAAACTGACTTTACTTGCTGCAGATTTTAACTCTGAATCTTAAAATGACGTTGAAATATTTTATGTTTGCACTTATTTTATGTGCTAACCAATTCATTACATTTCATTTTACGGTCAACCATCTTGAATAATATTCCAGAAAGACAAGTAATGACTGAGTAAAACAGCATCTAGGTGTACCAGATGCAACCACTTAAGATTCTATATGATCCAATAATGTAGACTTAGTCATGCTTTGTTTAACAAAGTGATGCTAGTAGAAATAAAGGTATGAGAGATTACTCGTTTGTATTGTTCTGCCCTGATTTGATCCTTATTTAACTATAAACAGGTGATTCAGATACAAATGGTTTCCACAAGGATGACAGCTTGTTTGTCTATCTATGCAACATAGTTTTTATTTTAAAAAATAGAAATAGTAGACACTTTTAGTTCATACACAATTTATCAAAACTTTAAAGGTTCAATCGTTGCTTGTTAAGGGAATCCAGCAAGGTCTACTCACAAGGTGTCCACAGAACCTGCCTGAAGATCACCCTTCCCCAAGGTGATGAGTAGCAGTCCTTATCTGTCTGTATTCTTGCAAAAACTATTCAGTTAATATCAATCTTGCACCTTAATTGGGTTTTAGGAAGCCATGTTACTTTAATTTTTCTTAATATATAATTTAGAATCTTAGGTCATAACATGTAATTTGATCCCTACCCATATTATTCCCCAACTTTATGAGAATTCAAATATGCCTCCTTGAAGGAATGAATGAACAAGCAAACCACTTGCCGCTCAGTATATTACAGGGGAATTTCTACAAAAATCAAAAAGTAAGGTAAAATCTGCTGACAATCAATTCCAATTTTCACTTGAAACACTGGCATACAATCATAAATAGTTTCTATAAGAATTGTATTTAAAGAACATATAAATGCATCCTCACTTCTGTGAGAAAACACCATGACACAAAACAGCACAATATGAAAAAATCTTGAAGAAATTTGCTTCTTTTTCTTCTAAGCAAATCTGAACGATGTAAGAAGGAATTCCACTGCTGGCTTTTACTTCTTTTTCCCTTTTGAGGGCTTAGCAAACAAGGCAGGATCAATCTGATCTCTAGACAGACCTCTCACAGAGAACAGCCGGGCTGCTCTCTCCTGTAAAGTGCCTCCGCATTTTAGTCCCAAAGCCATCAATTCAAACTTCATTTTCTCTAGTCCCAGGACTTCCAATTCAGCAACAGAACTGAATGCCAGCAGATCTATTGTTGGTGTCTCCTAAAAATAAAAAGAGAGAGTGAAATAGGTATTGCAGATACCCAAGGAAAGCTAACATTTAATCAAAAATGAAACTAAACACCTTGAGTGACACTGTACATTCTCATCATGTACTGTGATTGCCGTTTTATGTTTCTGATGTATCCTACAAAAAAGTCCAAAAACGTTTTGCTTTTTACCAAAGAGGATCTTTGATTAGAATCTGTCATGGTCAGAAATGCAACCTAACCTCTGCAGTCCCCATCCATCAGCTCTGAAAGCACAAATATTATTTAATATTTCAAGGTCCAGGTAAAAATTGTACTCTGGGTAGAGAGTAACCTTTAGCAGCAAAGATGGAATAACAACATATCTTTTATCTCTCTTCCTCAAACAGTGCATCTCTGAACACATTCTAAATAACAGATTATGGAAGAAAATGGCAGCCTGGTTGGCTGCCAGTTGTAGTTCCCTCTGGACAGCTTTCTCTGGCTACAGTAATGACCTTCTTCCATCTCATCAACACTAATGTCAAAATGTAGTTTATGCATAACAGAACTAGTGGAAGTCATAAAAAAAACTTTAGAGTGGTCACTCACACAGCCAAAACATTATCACTCATGTATTAGTTTTCAGCAAGCTTGAGCTAATTATACAAAGAAACTGCACAGGTAGCAAAAGAGTTAGCCCCCCCATCCCACCCCAACACACACAAACCTAGTGTAGACTGAAAGTACTTAGTGGTCATAGGATATCATCTGGACTATTCAGGGGGAAACATGGAATAATATTTCCATAGAATGCTTGGAAACCATGATGTAAGATTTTATTTCAGGCTCTACTTTTTTATGCAGTTTACTAATCCATCATGGAAAAGAACAGATCACAGACAGTACAAAAAGTTCCTTAAGTGGATCTGGAATATATAATGAGTTCATCTGCAGAGTCAGAAATAACTTATTGTACTTACAGTGTCCTGCAACTGGCTCACGGTTTTCTCAGCACTTAATGCCTTTGCTTCCTTTTCCTCATTTGGGGTCCGGTCTGCTTCATGGTTTTCATTAGCTGCAGTTTCATTAGTAGGTGGATCTTCGGCCAGACCACTTTTATCATCTTCCTCTTGTGTCTGCAATTGTTCAGCTGTGTCAGAGACTGAATTACAGCTTACAGAATCCTCAGAACTGCTGGGACATTGTTCTGTTCCATCATCCATTTGGATATGGTTGCCAGTGGATGCTGAGCAACTTCCTGATGTACTAGGAGACTGATCATCTTCACTGTCATCACTGCTTTGTGAACTATCCTCTGAATCCTCCAATCCTTCCATGCCCAACCTGTCACAATCAGCAGAAAACCGTTTTTAAGACGTTCATGAACTTTTGCAAATAGCAATCAATGATACACAAAATGCAACGACCAAGAACTTGCTTGCCCCACAATTATAAAAGGGGCACAAGTTTCGTCCCACAGTGAAAACAATGGAACATCAGTGATGTTCTTCTATTGGTGAGATCTCGTACAAGACATAGCAGCTTTAAGATATTAAAGAGTAGAATTTTTCTAAAAGTATTTCAGCAGGAAAAATCATTTGCACTCCAACTACCAAGACATCAATCCTATCACATTTATACTCTATCTAAAAGGGCTCCTTCAATAGTAATACTTGGAGTTATACTGTTCAACCACTGAAAAACATAAACAAACATTTTAAAGAAATTTTCTAGTTCCTCCATAGTGCACTCTTCTCGATATAAGAAATAAATGTGCTGAATTGCTGTGTTATTTGCTTATTTATTTATTTAATTTATTTACCATATTTATACCTGCCCTTCTTACCATCTTGGGGACTCAGGATAGCTTATATATATAGGCTGCGATTCAATGCCATACAAAAATAAATCAGTAAATAAACATATATATTTAAACAATCATTGAAACATATCAAACATTAAAAAACACTTATTTAAAATAATGCAATCCGATATCATAGTCCATGGCTGTTCCAGATTGTCACTGCACTATTCCATGTTCTTATTGAACTGGTAGATTACTACCCAAACGCTCGATCCCATATCCACATTTTTAGTTTTTTCCTGAAGGTCAGGAGGGAGGGGGCTGATCTAATCTTGCTGGGCAGGGAGTTCCATGGCTGAGAGGCCACCACTGAGAAGTCCCTGTCCCTCCACAGATGATCTTAACCTCCTAAATTGCTCATAGAGGGAGATACGTTTGCTTAAATGCAAAACAGGAAAGAGCCATGAAATCGCCCATTCCATAGGAGTTCTTGCAGTTCTTAGGATCTCAGGCCACTGTATGGTAATTCATGTCATCTAGAACAAAAGTAATTCTGAATGTTTTTTGAAAAATGCTATCAATTGTGACTTCCTGTTTTCTTACCACAAACATTTTTTCTTTTTTGATGGTGCTCCCTTTTCAGGCTCATTTAATCGTTTTTGACTCTCGCCACTTTCTGGTGATACCATTGTGCTGGAAGAAGCCTGCATACCTGAAATACGGCAGATGACTAAATCAGAAAAAATTTCCTAATAAAAAATACCCTGCACAAATCAGCCCATCTTCTGGAAATATTTTCAATTCGAAAATTCTCAGAAATTGCACATAATTAAAGAGACCTAAGATATAGCTGAGGACAAATAAATGTTTGAGAACACACAAGTGACTCAATTTCATTTGAAACTGGTTAACTGAAAACTATTTAGCTACAACTAGAAAAGAACCCAAACACCTGAGAAACAAAACACTGTATTAAGGAACAACATTTTCAATTGTACCTTTGAGGACAGAATCCTCCAGCCTCTCTGCCATCTCATGACATTGCTGCTGATAGTCTGGATTAGTGAAAAAGTGCTTTGGCTCAGTAAGTTTGCGTTTCAGTCTTTCTAAACGTCTTTGTTCCTTGTCTGCTTCACGTTCTGCTTGCTGCTTCACCCACTCAGCCATCCTGCAAGGGAGAACAAGTGAAACGATGCATTTCACTGTGAAAACCTTCCAGTAATTTGGGTCATTCCTCTTGTCTATCACATGTAAATGCATGAAAACACACTCCTGAAACTCATGGACAAGGAGTGACTCTGGAGACGGCTAAACAGAAAAAAGAATAATCCTCAGGGCATTTGATTATTGTAGAGAAAGTTAAAACAGGGAAGAACATCTCTTGCTGTCTAAGTTTACTTCCATTACATGCTTGATTGCTTCACAATTACAATTTCTATGAAACTCTTTACCTGGTGAGATTAGGCAAGCCTCCACCCTAGCAGACTTTAAGAAAGCTCTAAAGACTTGGCTTTTCCGATGTGCCTTTGGAGAGTGACCATATTCCAGTCCTGTTGTTTCTCCTACACTGTTTCCCTCATATTGCACTTTCCCCCACCTTATTGAAAATCTAATTCCACTATTCAGTCTCCTACGAGCTCCTCCCCCACAAATGTACTTTTTCATTGCTATCTCATCCAGAGTTTTATCATTTTATGTCGTGCATTTGGCCCGCCCACTGTGTTTTATTTTCCATTATGTTATTTTGTACTGTTTATTTTACTCGATTGGTTTATTTATTTTATTGTGATGTTATTTTGTTGTTTATATTTTATGTTGCTGTAATGTATCGCTGGGCTTGGCCTCATGTAAGCTGCTCTGAGTCCCCTTTGGGGAGATGGTGGCGGGGTATAAATAAAGTTTTTATTATTATTAAATGACAGCTTTTCAAGATGAAATGCTTTAATAAGAACATCAAAGAGCTCTAGTTTTACAGAACTTAACTAATTTTCCTCAATATCATATAACAGGACAAAATGCAGTACTGAACAGAAACTTTATCATTAATCACAGGTGACTACATAAGAACTAGAATCATCACAAAATAATTTTAACTAGTCTTTTGAAATTGAAACCTATTCCTAGGGTTTTTTGAATGATAAATATTTTCATTGATCACTGTGTTCTCATGAGGACTTTTAATTCACAAGATCTGAGGAATATTTGAAGACTTAAACCAGAGGTCCTCAAACTAAGGCCCGGGAGCCGGATACGGCCCTCCAAGGTCATTTACCCAGCCCTCGCTCAGGGTCAACCTAAATCTGAAATGACTTGAAAGCACACAACAGCAACAATTCTATCTCATCAGCCAAAAGCAGGCCCACACTTACCATTAAAATACTAATAAGTTTATATTTGTTAAAATTGTTTTTCATTTTAATTATAGTATTGCTTTTAGGTGTTTTTTGCACTACAAATAAAATATGTGCAGTGTGAATAGCAATTCATTCATATATATTTTTCAAATTATAATCTGGCCCACCAAAAGTTTGAGGGACTGTGACCTGGCCCTCTGTTGAAAAAGTTTGTGGACCCCTGACTTAAACAATAATGACAATGCAAACATTGTGTGTCTGTGTCCGAAATAATTAAATGCCTTACGCTTTTTCATGGTTTACATCTCGAAGTCTTCTCCCACTGAGATCTCTGCAAGCTTCTCTGTTTGTTGTTTTCTCTATTTGAGCACCAAGTGCCCGGAGCATGGATCCAAAACCTGGGAGGAAATAAAAAATATGTTTAATGCATAAATACAAGGATGGAAGCATTTTAGAGGATGATAACATTCCACATAACAACAAACTTGCAGAGCTTTTAATAAGAGTTGTTATATATTTTAGAAAATATTTTACACCAATACAAAGTGACCTTTTTATCTGTCTTAAATTGGAAAGCTGAACAAGTTCCAACCTTGAGAGAATACCTGAAGTTTGGCAAAATTGTCCAATAATAAAAATGCCCTTTGAGAAGTAAATTGCTACCAGGTTACAGTGTATTCTAACACAGACAAGTAGTGTAATGGAAATAACTGAAGATATCCAACATTTCATTTGTGTCATCATTTCTGTTTTGTCCATGACTGTGTGAGTAATACAAAAAAATCAAAAAATTCCAGGAGAAATAAGGGCATCCGTATATTGCAACGATATAGAAAATTCACTATTTTTAATAGCAACAATGTGCACTGGAATTCTTGGAAGATATTTCAATGCATCCTGCACAGTCCATTGCATGGATCATTTTTTTTAAGAAAGAGTCTTTCAAAACTATAGTTTGCAAACCATAAGAACTATAAATTACAAGTAAACCACAAAGGGTTCAAATAATGCTACTGAAATGAAAGCACATATTCCTTCTAAGAAGTTGGGGGTCTCCCCAGTCCTGTCAGTTATTGCTTACAGACATAATATAAGTAAAAGATTCAAAAGTAAAGGTAAAATTTAGAAATAACTGTATATAATGCATATTCTCCCTAGGGGATCCCACATCTTGTGTGACTGTGGAGCAGAACAGACAACTCCGCATCTGTATGCTTGTCCACTATGCCCTGCCTCATGTATAGAGGAAGACTTGTTGGAAGCTACAGACAATGCCATTGCTGTTGCCCATTTTTGGTCAAAAGATATTTAGCCACCCGTGCTTCTTCTATTTTTATCAGTTTTATACTAATTTATGTAATGCTTTTGATACAAAATAAATAAATCCCCGGAGGATTCTGGAGGAACATTTAAGTGCCCAGAGCATTTAAGTGGGCTTAATACCAGAGCAAATATCTAGTTAAACTAGATAAACTAGATAATATCTAGTTAAACTAGAAAACAGCCTCAGACATTTGTAGAAAGTTTATATTGTATATTTTAAAATGCACTGGAATGCACACTTGAAAATATACTACAATACAATAAAACAACAGAACTAGATGAGTATTATTTTATGATTCTATGACTACTCTTTCTTAGCTTTATACTCACCTCCCTTTCCACCACACAGTCTTGGTTCCAGGCTGTAAACACCACCATCTTGCAGCTCATCTTCTGAATTAACACAGCGGCCATTGCACTTTATGTAAAAGTGATCTTCAGGAACGCCCTAGAAACATGGAATTGAAACAAAATTAAACATGCATGATTTATTCAGATCCAATTGCTTTGAATTTATTCATATCCACCTTTAATATAGAAAGCGATTTAACCACTTTTTACTGGAAATATGTGGATAAATAACTGTTCAATCAACTTTTATTAACAGCCTCGAACCTCCAGTAACAGAAAATAACCATTCGCAGTTACATAAGGAATCCCTTTGCTTTCCCAAAGGGCTCTGAATCTTGGAAGTTAAGCAAATCAGCTCTGGTTAATTCTTAGATTGGAAATCGCCAGTAATTCCAGGTGTTGTAGGCTACAATTCAGAGAAAGAAAATGGCAAAATCATCTCCAAGTATTCTTTGCCTAAGAAAATCGTAGGAAATGCATGTAGCAGTCCAAAGTCAAGAGGCCACTTGATGGCACATACAAACACATATGTATGTGATACACACACCCACACATACACTTCCCTACAAACACTAGTGGTTTCTAACCTGCACTAATTACAGGGCTGTTATTTATTTATTGCATCAAGAGTGAAACAAGGGTACAGTTGTAATGCCAAAAAAAACCCACTTGGCATTATATTAATTGTCCTTTGAGCAGTAACTGACCACTTGGAGTGCCTCTGGTGTTGCTATAAGAAGGTCCTCCATTGTGCATGTGTCAGGACTCAGACTGTATTATAATAGGTGGTCTGTGGGTTGTTCTTCTCCACACTCGCATGTCATGGACCCCACTCCACTTTGAGGCCCCATTTCTTAAGGTTGGCTCTGCATCTCATGGTGCCAGAGCGCAGTCTGTTCAGCGCTTTCCAAGTCGCCCAGTCTTCTGTGTGCCCAGGAATCATAGAGTTGGAAGAGACCTCGTGGGCCATCTGGTCCAACCCCCTGCCAAGAAGCAGGAAAATTGCATTCAAACCACCCCTGACAGATGGCCATCCAGCCTCTGCTTAAAAGCCTCCAAAGAAGGAGCCTCCACCACACTCCGGGGCAGAGAGCTCCACTGCTGAACAGCTCTCACAGTCAGGAAGTTCTTCGTAATGTTCAGATGGAATCTCCTTTCTTGTAGTTTAGGATGTGGAATAATGGCTTCAGTCTCCAGGGCAGCTGAAAACAAGCTTGCTCCCTTCCTCCCTATAACTTCCTCTCACATATTTATACATGGCTATTACTATGTGAGAAGAAGTTATAGGAAGGAGGGAGCAAGCTTGTTTTTTGCTGCCCTGGAGACTCTCATTTGGTATCAGCCAGGATCAGGAGCCTCTCATTTGGTATCAGCCATGGGTTAAGGTTCCGGGTTTTTACCCTGCCACTTTTGGACTCTTGCTTGCTGAGGTGTTCCTGCAAGTATCTCTGTAGGTCTTAGAAAACTATTTCTTGATTGGCATAGTGGCTGATATCCGAACAGGGGATGGGCCAGAGATGTCATTGCCTTGGTCTTGGCCATTCATATGGCTGTTGGCACCATACGAATATTAATTCCGGATTTGTTAGTTAAATGCACTATTTGGTGGAAATGTCTTGTGAAAACACTGAGTACATCATTCACCCAACTGATTCCACCCAGGCTGAGTCTACACTATAGAATTAATGCAGCTTGACACTACTTCTGTCTGCCTTCAGATTCCCCCCTTTTTTCCACCTAATGCAGGCCTGGCAAACTTCGGCCCTCCCTCTGGGTGCTTTGGACTCCAACACCCACTATTCCTGACAGCCTCAGACCCTTTCCTTTTCCCACTCAGCCGCTTAAGCTTAAGCGGCTGAGTGGGAAAAAAGAAAGGGTCTGAGGCTGTCAGGAATAGTGGGAGTTGGAGTCCAAAGCACCCAGAGGGAGGGCCGAAGTTTGCCAGGCCTGAAGAAGGAGTCTGAGGCTGTCAGGAATTGTGGGAGCTGGAGTCCAAAACACCCTGAGGAAGGGCCGAAGTTTGCCAGGCCGGAGGAAGGGGCCTGAGGCTGTCAGGAATTGTGGGAGTTGGAGTCCAAAACACCCAGAGGAAGGGCCGAAGTTTGCCAGGCCTGAAGCTGTCAGGAATTGTGGGAGTTGGGGTCCAAAACACCCAGAGGAAGGGCTGAAGTTTGCCAGGCCTGAGGCTGTCAGGAATTGTGGGAGTTGGAGTCCAAAACACCCAGAGGGAGGGCCATACTTTGCCCAGGCCTGCCCTAATCAAGGCCTTCACTTCCCACATCCAAACCCGCTCACCTGAGCCTGGCAGCGCGCACGAAGCAAACCCCGAACCGACCGGTCTTCCGCAGGCAACGGCACCAGCCGTGCCCCACAGCTCAGCGGGTCCCTCACCAGCAGCGCCATTTCCCAACCTTTCTTCCACGACGCCGCTGAGCCTCCTGCTTTCCGGCAACAACGCAAAGAAAACGGCAGTGACGTCAACGCGTCGGAAACAGGAAGCCTGCGTCGGAAGCCTCCTTGCCAGGAGAATTCCCCTCGTATCGCTCTACTTCCTCGGCCCACGTGACCTGAGGGTGGCGCGCGCGCTGTGTGTGTGTACGTGCGTGCGAGAGAGAGAGAGAGAGAGAGAGAGAGAAAGAAGTCTGGAGGAGGCCGATAAAGAAGGTAGGAAGCCGACGAAAGCTTGGAGCCTCTGAGCGCGCATGCGCGCACGGATCTCTGGTGGTTCTTGGACTCTTGGCCAAAGCCTGTTTTCCCTTCAGAAGGGAAGTCTCCTTTTTCCTCTCTCTCTCTCTCTCTCTCTCCCGCCAAGGCTGTGACGAAGGGGGAGGGGAGGGCTTGGCCTCCCGTTTGTCCCTTCAGGCGTGGAAGAGGAAGCGCTCCTCCAAAGCGCCTTCGCTTCTCTCTCCTCCTCGCCCACACGTTTCATTGTGCTCGCTTGCAGGCGCCATGTTTCCTCGCCTCTCTCACTATCTGCATGTTGACAAGGCGAACTCTTTCAGGCACAGCATTTCCCCTCTGAAAAGCCTGTAAACGCCGGCAGACAGCACGAAGTTTGTGTGATACAGAAGAAATATTCTTTCTATATGTCTTCTTTCTTCTATATATAAATAAAATTTGATTTTTTTCTATTTTGGGATTTAAAAAACTCATAAACCACTGGACGAATTGACACGAAATTTAGACACAATACGCCTATCAGGCCAACAAGTGACCATCACTCATAAAAACACCGAAAAACACAACAGAAGGGACTTAAAAAGCCAAAAAAAGCAAAAAAAAGACGCTACAGCGCATGCGCAAAAACACCCCCCCCCCCTGCCGCAAACAAAACACACAAAAGCATATCCACACTCTCTTTAGGACTACAACTCCCAGCATCCCCGAGATCAGGCCCTTTAGGGAAGGAGGATGCTCCAAATGCACTGCTTCCAAGCTGCTTCCCCTTGGATTTCTTTGAGAGCATCCCAATCCATACATAATTCCTATTCCTGGACTGCAACTATTATTATTAACTTTATTTGTATTGTCGAAGGCTTTCATGGCTGGAATCACTAAGTTCTTGTGGGGTTTTTTCGGGCTATAGAGCCAAGTTCTAGAGGCATTTCTCCTGACGTTTCGCCTGCATCTATGGCAAGCATCCTCAGAGGTATTTGTACTCCGCTAGCATCTCTCAGAGGACTTGATGCGGTTTACAAAGGCCAAGGCCTCAAAAACATAGCATAACTAATACACAACTTAAAGCAAATCAAGACAATTAAAGCAATATCAAAAACAATAAAACAATACACCAAACACAGTAAAACTGGGGCCGGGCCAAATGTAATGGGTACAGATTAAAAATTCTGATGTGACAGGTGGCATCCCAGCAATCCTCCAGATAGATAAGATATATAGATTAGGTAGAGAGAGATAGTAGGTAGATAGATCAAGCAGGAAGACTGCTGGGAGTTACAGTCCAAGAATAGACAGAGAAGGAAGAAAGGAGAGAAAGAAAAAGGGAGGGGAAGGAAGGAAAGAGCGAAAGACGGAGGGAAGGTTGGCCACAGCAATGCGTGGTGGGTACAGCTAGTATAAATTAAAATGTAATGTTCGTTTGTGGGATTAACATAACTCAAAAACCACTGAAAGAGAGAAAGACTGAGGGAAGGTTGGCCACAGCAACGCGTGGCGGGTACAGCTAGTATAAATTAAAATGTAATGTTCGTTTGTGGGATTAACATAACTCAAAAACCACTGCACAAATTGACACCAAATTTGGACACAATATGCCTATCAGACCAATGCGTGACCATCGCTCATAAAAACACTGAAAAACACAATGAAAGGGACTTAAAAAGACAAGAAGTAACTTACAGTTTCTCAAGTTGCTCCTGACACACACACACAAACGATGCGGACCTTTGTTGCCAGTGTGATGTCTCTACTCTTAACTATTTTATCAAGATTGGTGATTGCTCTCCTCGCAAGAAGTAAATGTTTTCTATTTCCTGGCTGCAGTCCGCTTCTGCAGTAATCTTTGCACCTAGAAATACAAAGTGTGTCACTGCCTCCACGTTGTCTCCCTCTATTTGCCTCTATTTTGACTATAGTTACACTTAAAAATGTATTTATTCCAATATACATACACATTCAACTAAAGAACAAACCTACAGAACGTATCTCGTTTATAACCCTGCCTGTACTGAGCCTGTACTATCACCCTTTCTTTGCTGGTTGCTGTGTTCCTTCATGTAGTTTCTAACTTGTGGCAACACTGACACAAACTTATCCACCGAGGAATTTCCTGGACATCTGAGGCTGGGCGAAATCCCTAGATAAAGGTGACAATCAAGGTCTACTATGTACATATTCAGATCAGCAGGTGGTTTCCGGTCTAGATCTGATATCGCTGGCTGATACTTGCCCAGCTGATTGCCTCAGATGGCTGGTCTCAGAAAGAGGAACTCAAAAGTATGTGCACACATTGGATTCCTTTATTCGACACCCAAAGCTTGAAGAAGATCATCACCTTTTGTCCCAAGGCTCCTCACCCTCATCTTTCCCAGGAAACTTCGTCATCGTTTGAGATTGAAACAAACCAATTAAGGAATTATCTGCATTTCCCAAAATGGACACGGACTTTCTGGGGCTTGTCTCCTTCCAAGAGAGCCTCCCCTAAGCAGTTAATTGTCTTTCCCAGGCCAGGCCTCCATCTCCTCCCCTCTGCCAGGGAATCCTCTTGTGAAGGTGGGAATGTCACCGAAATTCCAGCAAATCAGGGTGCAAATCCAAGCTGACCTCTTTTTTGGCCAATCAGAGAAGGGAGTGGGTGGAGTGGAAGGTTTGAATAGCTGTCAAATGTATAAACCTCATGTCTCTGTATTCATAGTTATGCTCGTACATTTTGGCAGCAGCCATACTTGCATCCTTTCTGGCCAGATGACAAATAAGCCTGTGGCTATCTTCAAGTAGTGTGTTCTTCAATCCAGAACTTCGAGCTTTAGAGTAATGCTTGCCAGGCGCAGGCCCTCCATATCCAGGGTCCTAGTCTAAATTCAACCTCATTTACAGTGGACTCTGCAGAAAATGCTTCAACTATACTTCATAGAAAGGACAACATGCCCATTTAGCAACACTTGCAAATGATGAGTTGTTATCAGTAAATGTTTTATTTTTATACCTAGTTTATATACCTACATACTTGGGGTCACATAAAAATTCTAGAGTGGAAAGGGGTTACAAGTAGAAAAAGGTTTAAGAATAATTGACTCCCCACCAAAAACAATAATCTCTAAATAATTATGAATGCATGAATGATACAGATTTGGAGGAGGGGTGACCTCAGGACTACTTAAAAATTATAGAATGATTGTTATGACTAGAGCTTTGGAAAGTTGACTTTGGGGTCACATTTTCCAGAAACCCTTACCTTCCATTACTGCCACCCATCCACTCTGACTGACAGATTCTACGAGTTATGATTCAAAAAGTATCTTTTCATATTTTACTTAAAATATTCAATGAAAAAAATATGTATAATAAAAACAGATTTAAAAGAAAAGAAAGTTAAAGAGGAAAGACAATACAGAAAATATAACTACTAATTATCAAAACCTCAGTCAATGCTATTCTCTTTTCTCTGCAAAAGAAAAATGATTCCCAGTCCTTTAAAAAGGACATCTGTGATTTTACTCTAATCAAAGTTGTGAATTTGTCCACATCAGCCAAGTTCCTATGCTCAAGAGCCAAAAAGCAACTTTTTCCAAGCTCTGCAACAATGAGATCAGTTGAGGGAAGGAAGTAGCTAGATTTTGGTCCTCTCAAATGTTGTTTTCGTTTATCCTGTTTTATTCAGGGATTTCCCCAAGAGTTCTAGGTGCTGTCACTTTCCACTTGTAACCATAAAGTGTCATCCAGCTTTTTCTTTCCTTGCCGCCTGAAAATATGAAAGAGGAAGAAGTGGAACAGCTGTGCAAGGCTTCTTTCAATGGTAGTACTGGGATTAAGTCCATCTTGTAAGCACTGCATTTTTCAGATGAGTGGACAAAGTAGCCTATATCTCCTGGCATTCATATACCAGGACCTCTTATGTTTGCCCGCTAGCTCTCATTCCAGGGAAACAGGGCCAGAAATAAGGGTATTATTTGATGAGTCCAGGAGAGTTTCTATGAAGAACATTTAAACTCCACATAACAGAATGAGTTGTGTATTTCATATTGTGTAAATGCTATTTTAGACTGTAAGTCGCTCGGAGCACCTTGGTGGAGAGCGACTAATTAAGAAATAAAGTGAAATGAAGTGTAGGCCAGGTTTAGAACAGTAGGGACTCGTTTGCAGCTTATCCAATTGAAAGTGGCCTATTATCAAAAAACAGACCCCAAATAATAAACTCTAAATAATTATGAATGCATTTATATATATTAGACAATCTTCAATGCCAATTGATTGTCTCCCCATTCTTCACCATTTCAATAAAGCTAAGTAGGCTGTTGCCTCCTCCCTCCCCGTGACTATGTTATTCAAATCACCTTTGGAAAACTACCTAGCCCCTGGACATGTGCACTTAATCTAACTAATCCTCTCACAATGGATTGGGAAAAGCCACTTAATGCATGTATACATTCCAAGAGTACCCTGATCCCGTTAATTCGGTTTCTTCTGTACTCATAAACTCTATTGACAAACTCTTATTTTGTTAAGAAACTTCTTGCAGTTGTTGTGTTGGTTTTCTGGCACCCATTTATCTGGATTTATTCACTGCTAGATATGAATTACAGGCATGCCTAGCCTATTGAACTATTGATTACTTCCAGTCACTCTTTGTGTTCTCTAGACTATCTCTTGGTGTTCACCTGGACTAGACTAGTTAATCATGAACTGATTTGCATTAGATATCAATACATTCCAAGAGCCCATGCCTCCCTCTGGGGCTGACAAATGGCAGATGTTTATTTTTCCCGCCATGGAGTAACACCAACCAGTAATGACATCATAGGGAATCCCCAGCCAATAGGGGCCCAGATCCTAGCTGTACCGATTTTCAGCCAGTGGCTGATGCAGGTATTCTGAATAGCTGTCAAGGTGAATAAATATGCTCTGAATTTACCAATGCTTTATGTCAGTACTTTGAGCACTAGCTCTGCTGATATCCTCTTTGACCATTGAGAATTAAAGACCCCTCCTTTTGCCTTCTAGCTGCTTAGCACTCCGGGGTTGTGAACCCCAGGGAGCTGAAATCATTTATCATTACTATTAACCACTGTGAGCAACATTTTGCACAAATTTAACAAATAACTAAACTTTCCTACTTGCAGAACTCCATGAAACTTTTTATTTCTAAGGCACATTGCATATTAATCAAGACATTTATTTATTTTTAAAATACACCCATTATTCTTCTGTAGTTGAAAAACTTTTCTAAGAAGGATGTGTAAATGCATATCTAGCAATTTGGTTTTCTGATGTATACAAGTGCCAGCCAATCAGTGCTAAATACAGTCCTTTAGCTGTAAACCGGAAGAACAAGTTTCCCCTAAACTTGATATGGAGATGATTGTAGGATCACCTCAAATCTGCTCAGTGCATTTCTATAGCAGGTTCACAGCTGAAATTATGCACAGCTGTACACTCCCTTTGTTACAGCAAGATAATAACCATTGTTTATAATGACATTCCCTCTGCTTATGTTTTTATATGGCAAAATAAGTCCCAATTTTAGTAAACTTAAAATGTTTTTCCTTTGGGATACTTTCTGCCATATTTTTCATTACTTAACAGTTTAAAATATTTGTTTTTCCTGTGGCATTATGTTTTATTTACAGGAGTGCAAGGGAACTTACAGCCCCAGAAAAGCACTAGTCCAGCCTGTGAAGGGTCTGAGGAATGCTATGTGTGCTCTTCCAATCTCTATCCCAAGCCCTGCAATCTGAGCATTCAACCCTATTCTGTGCATACATATCCATCAAGAAATCCTTCTGCTTTCGTCTATCGAGGGGTTGGAGGCAGAAGTGGTTAGCTTTGCCTTGTTGATGGAGAAAACTGTAGTGAAGATGATCTTGTAATATAGTTGTTCAGAAGTAATCTTGCATCCTAAGGCTGGATCTCAGAGGCCACCTTGGTGTTATTCCTGGTGGGGAAACATGGGGTGTGTTTGTGTAAATCCTCTGTGATTCAAGTGATGTTTTGCTTGCGCACAAGAGTTGAAGGAGGAACAGAAACAGGTCTTCTAGACATGCTTCATAATGTCAGATGTATGGATGTAATTTAGCTCAAGGCCCACAGTTTCTTAAAGAGGTAGCAGTTGTGTGCTTCAAAGCAAAACTGTCCAACGCCAGATCATAAATCTTTATGATTAGGAGTTTCTATGGCTGTGAAATTGTGCAGGGATTTTTAAATATGAGGAAAATGAATCTACAGTACTGCAATGCAATACAGTATCTTGTCAAAGCAAAACAAACCCCAAACGCTTTCATAAGTCCTCTGCTTTCAGGGTTTTTGTGTTAATCAAGAATAATTTCACTTATTATTTCTTACATTTCTTACACAGAATACACCTATCGGGCCATCAAGTGACTATCACTCAGAAAAACACTGAAAAACACAGCAGAAGAGACTTTAAAAGCAAAAAAATAAAAAATACAGTACAATGCATGTGCAAAACCACATATTTACACAAATATATATACACATATATCCACACACAAAACACATATACACAGACTGGGCCACAGCAATGCATGAAAGGGGACAGCACAGATAGATAGATAGATAGATAGATAGATAGATAGATAGATAGATAGATAGAGATAGGTTTAAAGGGCCTGAGGCTGTTGAAATCCAAAACACCTGGAGGGAGGACCCAGGTGAGCCCATGCCTGCCTAAGGCAGCACTCGAGGTGAACCCAGTGATTCTGGCCATGGGAGGATTTCTGGGAGTTGAAGGCCAAAACATCTGGGGACCCACAGGTTGAGAACCACTGCACTATGGGGGTGGCATAAATATTGCCAAGAAGACCCAGCCTGAAGGTTCCCAACAAAATGCCAATTGCACAGCATCAGTTTGACAGGCTGCAGTCCCATGCATCAATGCTTGGAAGAAACGTGAGGGGACAGGGCCTTCTTAGTGGTGGCCCCTCAGTTGTGGAACTCCCTTCCTGGGGATATTAGTTCGGCCACCTCCCTCCTGACCTTTAGGAAAAGAGTAAAAACCTAGCTCTTCGAGCAAGCTTTTGGAACCTCATTGCAACCAGATAAACTCAGTATTGTGAATGAATATGGAACGGCTTAACAATGCAAATGGACATGGATTTAAACCTGGAAGTCATTGATTTTTATAGTTTTAAATTGTTATTAATATGAATTTTATTATGTGATTTAACCTGTTTTAAAAGATGTATTTATGTGTGTTCGGCATCTAATTGTTGCCAGTCTGTACACTGCCCTGAGTCGCTTTCAGGCTGAAAAGGGCAGGATAAAAGTGTGGTAAATAAATCTATATAAATAAAAATGTAATGTCCGTTTGTGGGATTAACATAACTCAAAACCACTGGACGAATTGCTGCCAAATTTGGGCACAAGACACCTACTAACCCAAGAAGTGACCATCACTAAAAAAAAATGATTTTGTCATTTGGGAGTTGTAGTTGCTGGGATTTATAATTCAGCTACAATCAAAGAGAATTCTGAACTCCAGCAATGATGGAATTGAACCAAACATGGCACACAGGACTCCCATGACCAACGGAAAACACTAGAAGGGTTTGGTGGGCATTGACTTTGAGTTTGGGACTTGTAGTTCATCTACACCCAGAGCACTGTGGCCTCAAACAATGATGGATCTGGACCAAACTTCCATATGCCCAAATATGAACACGGATGGAATTTGGGGAAATTGACCTTGACAATTGGGAGTAGTAGTTACTGAGATTTATAGTTCTCCTACAATCAATGAGCATTCTGAACCCCACCAACAACAAATTTGGGGCAAACTTCCCACACAGAACCCCCATGACCAACAGAAAATACTTAAGGCCATCCTGTCCAACTCCCTTCACCGGGGCATAAAAACATAATCGAAGCCCTCCTGACAAAGAGCCATCCAGCTATAGATATAGATAGATATATATGATTCACACACAGAGAGATACAGTATCATAGATTTTAAAGGGACCCCTAAAGAAGAAGAACAACAACTTTATTTTTCTACCCTGCCTCCATCTCCCCGAGGGACTCGGGTGGCTTACATGGGACCAAGCCCAGGGAACATACAATTAAAAGCAGAGCAAAAACAAAATGCAATTTAAAAGCATAAAACAAACAACAATAATAGACAAGCATCAAGCAACAAAAGAACTAAGGTGGGGAAGGCCAAAATACGGCCAGATTAAAGAGTAACTGGTTCAACAAGGTGGATGAAAATGTATAGCATAGGAAATATTAAAACAGAGCAATCTAACAGGATCAGAAATAATGCAGTTTGATGTGGGTTTTTTCGGGCTATAGGGCCATGTTCTAGAGGCATTTCTCCTGACGTTTCGCCTGCATCTATGGCAAGCATCCTACCTCTGAGGATGCTTGCCATAGATGCAGGCGAAACGTCAGGAGAAATGCCTCTAGAACATGGCCCTATAGCCCGAAAAAACCCACAAGAACCTAGTGATTCCAGCCATGAAAGCCTTCGACAATACAATGCAGTTTGACTTATAAAATCTGAATAGTAATGTAATATAGGAAGGACAATTATATGTTGCATGTTCCAGAGTAGGCAAACCAAACAATCTCCAAATTAACACTGACAAATAAACAGCAAGAAATACTGTTTACCCACAAGCATAAAGAAATTACATATATTAAAAACCAACACTTTCTCATTACTTTATTTTTACAGATCACCAGACTGGGCCACAGCAACGCGTGGCAAAGGAACAGCTAGTAAATAAATAAATATCCAGGAAACAAGCTGTGGGGATCCAATTGCTTGTTCCTGTGGAAATGTTTTGTATTCAGACACTGCGTTGCTCATGTTTAGTCAGCTATCAGAAGCGTCTATTCCCCCTCGTAAATGTTACATTGCAATCAGCTCGGCACATCTGGGACTGGCAGCTGTCACTGATCCAGATGCGAGATGAAGCAGCTTGTGGCAGAGAGAGATGGCTGCCTTCTGGACTGGAAACCTCTTTATGTAATTAAGAACTGAAAGGAAAGGAAGGCGGCATCCTTGTTGTGAAAGCCACCTCTAAACCTGAGAAGATGGTGAATTTTGGTGGTCACTGTTCTGAAAACAGACAATATTTGTTTTTCTATCAAAAATTACTACTAAATGAAGCTGGATTCTTTTGGCAAGCTCCTTTCTGTCTCCATTTTGTTCCCATTAGTAGGAAAGACAAGGCTTAATGGTAGGCCGCAGGCTTGAAACTAATCCCAAGGACACACAGCCTCTCCTCAGCATCCATCCAAACTCCTCAGCCACTGAAGCTCTGTGTGGGGAGGCTGAGAAACTCGCCGCAGCGGCCGCAACGCGCATGCGCCGGAGTAACCATGAAACGGGGAAGCGCCGCCGGGGGGTGACGTCATGGGCTCGCTCTGCTTTAATGTGGGGCAAGCTTCCTTTCCTCCTGAATGACTGACTGGCTGCCAGGCTGCCAGGAAAGGCGCCTCGAGGAGCTTTTGACAGCTTCGTTGCAGAGGTCAGCCAAGGGGAGGAAGCCAGGGGCTGCAGGAGGGAAAGAAAAAGGGGGCCTCAAAGCAGAGGCATTCCATGATGGTTGAGAAGGCGAGGGGATAATAATAATAATCATAATAATCCCCCTGCTGCTGCTGCTGCCTGACAATGGGAGGAAGGCAGCTCTTTTTGCCAGCAGCCTGAGCTGCATGGAGTGGGATGTCCTCCCACAGGAATCCGTCTATTTTTAAACCGCGCTCCTTACTACAGCTTTACTATGAGCACGAAAAGGCAGAGAAGGAGATGCAGCCAGCCAGCAAGGAAGCTTCCAGGCCCTAGTCTTAGGCGTAATCAAATTTGATTTAAGTCAGTGGGATTTCTGTGTGGATCAGGACTGCAAACTGGATTTTTATCATCACTAGGAGGGTTTTGAATGCAGAAAAGCTCAGGGAAGCGACTGAAACACCCAAGCACACACCTCACCTCTGAGGATGCTTGCCATAGATGCAGGCGAAACGTCAGGAGAAATGCCTCTAGAACATGGCCATATAGCCCGAAAAAACCCACAAGAACTTAGTGATTCCAGCCACGAAAGCCTTCGACAACACTTATATTTGCTGTCACAGAGAGTGCTTCAGAAGCTGTGGTCGCTTTTCTTGTGGCATATTGAAATTTACTTTCACATAGGCGATCCCTCGTTGGACGAGTAGGATAGTCTTCCATAATCAGTATTCTTGTGGATCCATAGGTGGCTGTGGAGCCCTGTTCTTGACCTGCATCTTCTCCCACAGTGAAAGCATTGGTTTCCAGATGGAAGGCAGTCTCATATTTCAATGTTTCATATTGAAATAGTCCTGAGACGTTCAATGTATTGTCGAAGACTTTCATGGCTGGAATCACTGGGTTGTTGTAGGTTTTTCAGGCTACATGGCCATGTTTTAGAACAGGGGTCCTCGAACTTTTTAAGCAGAGGGCCAGGTCACAGTTCCTCAAACTGTTGGAGGACCAGATTATAATTTGAAAAAACATGAATGAATTCCTATGCACACTGCACATTGCTTATTGGCAGTGCAAAAAACACTTTAAAACAATACAACAATTAAAATGAAGAACAATTTTAACAAATATAAATTTATTAGTATTTCAATGGAAAGTGTGGACCTGCTTTTGGCTGATGAGATAGGATTGTTGTTGTGTGCTTTTAGGTTGTTTCAGACTTAGGTTGACCCTGAGCAAGGGCCGGGTAAATCACTTTGGAGGGCCGCATCCGGCCCCCGGGCCTTAGTTTGAGGACCCCTGTTCTAGATGCATTATCTCCCAACGTTTCGCCTGCATCAATGGCAAGCATCCTCAGAGGTTGTGAAGTCTCACAACCTCTGAGGATGCTTGCCATAGATGCAGGCAAAACGTCAGAAGAGAATGCTTCTAGAACATGGCCATGTAGCCTGAAAAACCTAAAACAACCCAGTCTTGAGACACTTGTACACAGATCTTTTTATCTGAACTCTTTGCTGCAAGGACTGATTTACATCCCCCCTGCTGATGTATTTACAGTCAACGTTCAAAAGAAAGAATGATGGGTATATTTAGTCCCAAGATAAAACATTTTATTAGAGAATGCACTTTCTCGGCCCAGAGTTAAAAGGGGTATCAGAATAAATGCATTACAAGACAGGGCTGGTCATACTATTAGGCAGAGGAATACAATTTGTTGGAGGGACAGAAGCTACTAGACAACAAGATGTTGGAGAAGATGGGTATGTTAAGCAGCCTTCCTATGTTTCAAAACAGCAGTAAAGGTCAGTTCAAATTTGTGATATATGAAGAGGACAATCAAAACTTGGCTATTAACAAAGCTATATTATGTATTGTCAAAAACTTTCATGGCTGGAATCACTGAGTTGTTGTGGGCTTTTCGGGCTGTATGACCATGTTCTAGAAGCATTCTCTCCTGATGTTTCGCCTGCATCTGTGGCAGGTATCCTTTGAGGATGCCTGCCATAGATGCAGGCGACACATCAGGAGAGAATGCTTCTAGAACATGGCCATACAGTCCAAAAACCCTATAACAACCCAAAGCTATATTCTACCTAAATACCAAATAATGTAATGATTTTAGTAAATGTAGCTTTATGATTTTCTGTAAATGAATACATTGTTCAAACTCCTGGGAAACCTTGAACAAGTCACATTTTCTCTGCCTCAGAGAAAAGGGCCCTTCCACATAGCCCTATATCCCAGAATATCAAGGCAAAAAATCCCACCTAATCCGCTTTGAACTGGGTTATCTGAGTCTATACTGCCATATATTCCAGCTCAAAGCAGATTAGGTGGGATTTTATTCAGCTATGTAGAAGGGGCCATAGATATTTCTCAATAGATACTGACAAGAAAAACTGAGCGGATATGAAGGCACATAACAGCCACATTTTCCTAACCAAAGTTACAACCTCTAGTCTAAAGTTAAGTACCATGATGTACACACTTCTGAATTTTTGAAAATCTTTTTTTTTTCATGAGCTGTGAATCCATTCCACAAATATCACAAATGTTTTACGCTTATTATTGAAATCCAGAGTAACCTGAATCTGAGATTTGGTAAGATTTACATAATCTCTGTTCCTCCCATCACTCTATTTTTATAATAATGAAAAATTATGTATCCAGAAAAGCATTTGACCCTAAAATGCTCCAGAGCAGACACCAACAACAGTTATAGTCAATCTGCAATCAGAGTAACAATCTAGCTTGCCTTCAAGTTAATTGCAGAAGCTGAAAACAATGTAGCTTTTCCTTTTACAGAAAATGTTTCAAACTTAACCAAATTTTATTTGCCTTTTCTGCAACTTTCCTAGCTCACTGGAGTGATGGAACACAAAATTTACTTAACCATTGTTGTGGGTCCCTACACTGGCAGATGATTGGATCAGATCACAGTTGAGCTCCTTCCAATTCAAAAATGCTCTCATTTTGTAGATTTTCACAATGGCACCATCGGGTTCTAATAACACATGAGCCAGTTGCAGGCTTCAGGGCAGAGGACAAATGGTGCATATCTGTAAGTATAGTTCTTTGAGTGCTCATTTGTGAACTCACACAAATGGGGTTGTCTGCAGCTGTGAAATACATTATTTGGAATACTTCATAGTGTTTAACATAAGCTTTGTAGTGATAGCCCCACCCACCCTGCACCATGTAACATCCTGCCTGTCTAAATTCTTCATTCCATAGATGTCACAGCTGGAGCTGCTCGGAAACTAAGAACATTTCTTCCGTCTTTGTGGTCACTGTGGCCCCTTCTATACTGCTAGGTGACTCTCACAAATGGGAGACTAGCAAGCTACAGGCAGTCCCCAAATTACAAACCTCCAACTTACATCTGACTCCTGGTTACAAACAGGGGTTAGATAACAGAAAGCGAAAGGAGATCTACCCCTAGGAAGGGAAATTTACTCCTGTAAGAGGCATGGGGAAAAGGTGTGCCCACGTGAGATTTATCACCAATCTTTGCTTCCACAACACCCCAAAATTTTCAAAAGCCAATTGCCACAGGGACAGAAAATTAGATGACATCTTCTGAACTCTGTTGGCATAGAGTGGATTTTGATTTAGACTGATGATTTAGACTGTGCAGCAGCAACTATTAGAGTGAAACTTGGGATGGTATGTGGCAATCGGCTATAAACAAACAAACAAACTAAGCATTATTGCTTTTGGCAACTCTATAGAGTCTGTCCAGTTTCTTCAGTGCGGAAAGAGGAGATGACGGTTTCAAGATTTCCTGGCGATCTGCAGCAGGTATGAAAGAACTGGAAGAGAATTTAGCTATCTGAAAAGCAAGGTCTTTTGCCATGCATAATATCTAGTTTGCAAAGGGATGAATGCCATTAGTTGGGGATGTTGAATCACAACACCCCATTTTGACAGGAGGTGAAACCTTTGAAGGCAATCTCAAGGATGATGAAGTGGAGGATTGAAAGTCACTCCATGAAGTAGAAGAGAATGATCATCTACAAAGCTCAGAAGCAGATAACATTGTGGAGGACCAATGTTCCTTAGATGTAGAGGCAGAAGGGGTTCTAGATTCTGCCTGGGTCACCTGTCCTCCCACCAATGGAACACTGCAGTGAACTTGAGAGGAAGCATGTTGGATTGGGGTATAGCTGCTAGCCCAATGTCTTCCAGATGAAGTATGCCTTCCAGATAGAAAACATGTCTGGATGCCAGGAATTATGTCTAGCTAGAGAAGTCTACAAAGGGTGCTAACAGTGGAATGTCTGGTGTTGTAACGAGGGGGGTGCCACATTGATTCAGTATGGTACTGACAATGGTATGAACAGACTCGGTGATATTATTTTGCTGAAAGTGACCTCCCATAGTAACATACAGGAGAATCTAAATGGTATTGAGTATCTTGATCAAGAGAGCTCATAACTGTGACAGTACATATCTGACAGCTATGGCTGTGGGATTCTAGAGTAGGGAGATAAAGTTGAATCCAAAAAGATTGAAGAAGCACAATGAGACAACAAAAATAACTTCCTCAGGGTGGTTGAACTGGTAACAAAGGTAGAGCTGCATGTTCAGCATGAGTGTGTTGAAGCTGTATAGGAACTGATTGTGCACTCTGAACCTGTGGATCATAACGACTCTAGAATT